CGGAGGGGAAACACAACCTTGGAGTTTACCAAACTGTGCAAAGCTTCCGATTATTTTGAACCTGGAGGATGAATACAGAATGATAAAATAACAGAACTCATGACTTCCATCCATCCATCCATCCATCCATCCATCCATCCATCCATCCATCCATCCATCCATCCATCCATCCATCACCTTCTGCATGTTAGAGTTTGGGACGTGGGGTTAATAGTGCCCCAGAGGCTACCCCACAAATACATTATCCCAAAGGCCTAATGATATGATGACAAAGTCAATTATCAACCTTTGACGAAATTTGGTCTAGCAATAAGTAAACATATGAACTCACTTTTCCCCAGAAATTGTTTGTTAAGGATATTCTGTGCCTCACAAAAAAGTATAATTCCAAATCAGGTTTAGATTGTTGTCGCTCCTCAATAGTAAGAGGTTTCCCTCATGCAACCAAAAGCCACCACGAAGGTGACATTGTATGTCCCCAAAGCTAGATTACACTGCTGTGAAATAGCACAGAAAGCTTCCCGCCCTCAATTGCCACCAAGGTAGAGGGCCCACATGGAGGGAGCTGCCTGTGGCATCTCTCCACAAGCATCCACCGATGATCTCCTTCCAAAAGACCCAGCTCACGAAGGCTGTCCAAGTCTCCCTAATCCAGGAAAGGTTGGTCTGACAACTCCCGCAAAGCCTATGGGAGACACTTAACTTCACAACTTTATGACTAAGTTAAGAAACCAGGTTGGATTACAAAAGTGGGCAAAAATAAAATACGGAAATTGAATTTAAAAGAAAATATGAAGATGTGTATATTAAGCAATGTAAAAAATAAATTATAAAACAATTTATATAAAAATATATATGTTGATATTTTAAAGGATGGAATCTATGTCCACTGAACTTCAGAAAACTCAAGGTGTTGACAGAGAACGAATCTACAGTAATTTCATCAAAGTGTTCCTTTCAAGAAAAAACTCATCAGGTAGGATTGTTACATTTTTCTGGGCAAAATATGGTAGAAAGAAACTGAGATAATCATTACAACACTCAACTGAAACATAAAACAAAAACAATGATCAACTTCTAAAAAGAAAACAATATTCAAAGAAAATTATATTGTGCTTTATCATCTTAAACTATTTATTTTTACCAGAGCCTGGATGCAAAGACAAAAATACAGGAAGTAAAGAATGGCTCCAAAGAAACATTGGGATTTTTTTAAAATTTGCAACTATTAAAGAACTTAAAGAAATGAACAACAACTTCTCTGCCGTAAGTGATGTAACAGATTTTCAAATATGACAAGTTTCATGTATGTATGAATATATAGAACCACAATGTTGCAGACCCAATCATATAAAATTAGGCTCAAAAGCATAAACACATGTTATTACAGATTGAAGTCCTGGAAAAACTTTCACTGCAACAGAAGGCTGAGCTAATACTGGATCCAGACAGCGGCGCTTTGGAGGATGTCAACTTCGTGAGGGACGTGCTCACAAGCCTGAAACTGTCCGGCAAGGACGAACAGCTCAGTCAGTTTTTCCAGACGTTTGCACAAATCAGCGAGAAGGTGAATGCTTCACACTAACTTGGTCACATTT